GGGGGGGGGGAGTCGCCCTGACCCTTTCATCGCCTTGTCCCGCCCCTGGCTGTCCTGCCCCGTCCCTCCAGCGCGGGGCCGGACTGCGCACAAGCCTGTGAAGGGTGTGGCCACGGCGAGTGTATGGGATCGTGTGAGTTGTTGTCCTGAAAATTATTATTCATCAAAAACAAAATAACGACTGCCTAAAAACTTGAACTGCTAGAACTGACAACTGACAACTTGAGCTGACTTGCCTACGGGTAGAGACAGTCGCTGGGGACTGTCTAAAAACTATCTCTCTTCTCCTTCTCTGTCTCTCTCCCTTTCTCTCCCTCTCTTACTCTCTCACACACACTCCGCGACCCCCTGCCCACACACCTCCCGGCCTGGCTGAAGCCTCCCGGCATGCTGGGCTGAGTGGAGCGCAGCCGGGCCGGGCGAAGCACTGTGCTTGTTTACTCCCGACAGCCGAGGCACTTCCCTCCCCCTCCCCTTGCATCTCCCTCTCTTTCTCCCCTCTCTCCCTCTCTTTCTCCCCCTCTCCCTCCTCCTATCATATCTCCTCTCCCTCCCTCTCTCCCTTCCCCGCTACCTCTCCCTATCTTCCCTGTCTTCCCTCTCGCCCGACCCTACAGGAGCTGCTGCGCCCTCAGAACAAAAACCCGTCGAACCCTGCCCAGGCTTTTCCGTAGAGGCTTTGCCGACCCCAAAACACGGTTCACGATTTACGAGAACCTCTTTTTTTCTCAATGAGGCCAGCCCATAAACCTTTCTGAAGTTTAAGTTAAGCCGTTAAACAGACAGTCCCCTCGACCAATCTGCGAAGCTCCAGGTGGTAGCCCACCTAGCTACAACCAATGTTGACAGGGTAGTAATTTATGGAATGGTAGGATAGGTTGAAGGCCGGGTACTTGTGCCCTGTCCTGAGGTGGCGGGGGGTCGAAGGGTAGCATCACGTGCTTGGGTGAGTGTATACCCTAGGTAGTCACACTTTAGAGGCCGTTTACAAATTATGTCACGCACACGCAATTTTGGAATATTTCAGTCCACAAAACTGTCTCTATCAGGAAAAACGTGCATCTCCCCGTCTCCTCCCCTCTCTCGTCCAGCCGACGGGGACGCTGTGGTGGTGTGGCGACCGCAACGCTCAGCTCCGTCCCCCTCTTGGGGGCTGTCTAAAAAGTTTTGAATTATAGAACACTAACTAAATTTTATAAAATCAATTTCAAAATAAAGTTGTGTTTACAACATGTTTTACTCTAGCAGTTTACGAGACGTGGGCAGGATGTTTGCACGCCCTGTGCGCCTGCGCGGGCTCTGCCCCTTGAGCTCGTTGCCGCTCGCCCGGCGCGCTCGCTGCAGCGCTGCTGTGCAGTGCACCGCTGTCGCGGAGGTTGCCTAGCACTCGGGAGGCCCTGCCCCGCCCGGGCTCAAGTGGACTCGTCTCTCTTCATCAGTCTGTGTGAGGATGCTAAAATATTCGAGTCTGCTGGTGGTGGAGCGTGTCGTTGTCGTTTATCAGCTCTTTAGGTCAGAATCATCGGAGTCACGATCCGCGACGGGCCGGGGGCCGGGCGGGTGGACGGCCGGACGTGGTGGTGGGCCTAGAGCACGGGGGTAAGACGGGACGCTAAACACACATGGCGGTATAAATAATTTGTTGAGCGTGCCCCCCACCCCTCATGCCCCTTTCCTCGGGTCCAGGAGGGCTCTGCCCAACGGCGGGGGGGTGAGGGGTAGGAAATGTGCCACTTCACCCCCCCCCCCTTTTCCCCTATCCTCTTTGCATTACTAATCCCCCTCTTTTCCCCTCTTTCTGCTCCCTTGCCTATACACTCAATCTCTCTTCTTCCCCCTCTTCGACGCCACTCCCTGCTTTGCCTCATCCACCTCCTCCTCGCTTGTCTTTGGATGAAGCGTCTCCCCCCCCCCTCATTCTGAGTGAAATGAGCGTCAAAATAAAAAGTCACCACGTCTCACTTTATCCACGAGGTATGTCTAGTCCTTTACCCAATTTTGTTTCTGTTTCAGGTTATCTTCTGTTCAAAGACTTCTGTGAGAACGTGGCAGAGGAACCTATACCGCAATTACGATTTTATGAGGAGGTACTTGTTTATTTAAATTTAATATTTTTTCAATATTAAAAGAAAAAAAAATCATGTTTTGGCACTTTTCTGTGTATGGGCTGTCATCTCTTTTTTTCTTGCAGATTAAGGCTTATGAAAAGCTGGAGACTGCTGAGGAACGTCGAACAGCAGCTCGTATCATTTATGATAATTTTATAATGAAAGAACTCCTAGCACATTCACATGTAAGATCTTCATTTCCTTTACTTCACGTACATTGTCTAAAACTGTTCAAAATATTGCAAATCTTGTCTTTATTTTCTAGGACTACTCAAAACAAGCAGTTATGCATGTACAGAAACATTTAACGAAGAATGAAGTTCCACCTAACTTATTTGAAGTGAGTCATTTTATCAAGTTTTGCCTGGGTGTCCTAAAGGCCCTGTCCTTTTTTTAGTCATACTGTACTGCATACGTGAGTGGACTGGTTCGTCTACCAGCATGCAGGACATTATTACTAGAAGTCACTAGAAAAAAAAAGTACATGGGGTTTGAGACACCATGAAGAGTTCTGTACCCTGTTGGTTAATTTTGTTCCTTTGTCTATTTTAGCCCTATATAGAAGAGATTTTTAATCATTTGAGAGGTGAACCATTCCGGAAGTTTTTAGAAAGGTAAATTACAGGTTTATAATCCTCTCTTTTTAAATGAGTTCTATACATGGATTTAATATCTACCTCTTCATTCACAGTGACAAGTACACAAGATTTTGTCAGTGGAAGAATGTAGAGAAAGGTATAAATTTGACGATGAATGACTTTAGTGTCCATCGGATTATTGGCCGTGGTGGGTTTGGTGAAGTCTATGGGTGCCGCAAAGCAGATACAGGGAAAATGTATGCAATGAAATGTTTGGACAAGAAGCGCATCAAAATGAAGCAGGGAGAAACTCTTGCATTGAATGAAAGAGTCATGCTTATTCTTGTCAGCACAGGGGTAATATATTACACTGCTCTTACTAATTCTGAATTTTTTCACATTCATGAAAGTATCAATTTATATTTGATTACTACTTTCTACAGGTTGACTGCCCATTCATTGTTTGTATGACTTATGCATTTCAAACACCAGATAAGTTGTGTTTTATTTTAGACCTCATGAATGGCGGAGATTTGCACTATCATCTTTCACAACATGGTGTCTTTAATGAACCCGAAATGAAGTTTTATGCAGCAGAGGTCATTTTAGGTCTAGAACATATGCATCGGCGTCACATTGTGTACCGGGATCTCAAACCAGCAAATATTCTATTGGATGAACATGGTCACATTAGAATATCGGATCTCGGGCTTGCTTGTGATTTCACAAAGAAAAAGCCTCATGCCAGTGTGTAAGTACATTTCTTATAGTAACAAGCCTTTTTTGGTAGGATTTTGGGAATAATTTTTTTTTGTGAAAGCTGTTAGTCTTTATTGTTTTTTCTCTGTCTTTACTCCTAAATCTCTTTTGTTTGATAGGGGAACACATGGATACATGGCTCCCGAAGTACTCTCAAAAGGAACTCAATACGATGACAGTGCTGATTGGTTTTCCTTTGGGTGCATGTTGTACAAACTCTTGAAAGGACACAGTCCTTTCCGACAACACAAGACAAAGGACAAACACGAAATTGACCGGATGACTCTAACAATGGTAAGAAAAATTTTATGGTCCTTTAATTAATTACCTTTTCTCCTCAATCTCTTAGAGTTGGACTTTTTTTCTTAACTGACCCTCTTTTATTTTGTAGAATGTGGAATTGCCAGAAACATTTTCAAAAGACTTGCGATTACTTTTGGAAGGGTTACTACAGAGAGATATTGACAAGCGTCTCGGATGTAGAGGCAATGGGTATGCTTTATTCTGCCATTTCAAATTACAAATTTATGCTTTCCTTTGTTACAAATTACTGGAGTTTGATGCCACTTTGTAAAATTGCAGAGCTGATGAGGTGAAGGAACATTCTTTCTTTGCGGGAATGGATTGGCAGCAAGTATACCTACAGAAATATACTCCACCCCTCATACCACCTCGAGGGGAAGTAAATGCTGCAGATGCATTTGATATAGGTTCATTTGATGAAGAAGATACTAAAGGAATTCGAGTAGGTCTCCTTTATATAGTTTGATTTTACTCTGCCACTATTTTCACAAATATTGTTGCATGAAAAAAATTGTGTGATTTTAGATGACACTGAACATTATCTGTTTACATCTTTCACTTGTTTCACAGCTAACTGAAGCAGACCAGGGAATATATACACATTTTAATGTGACAATATCTGAGAGATGGCAAACAGAGGTAGCAGATACCGTTTTTGAAACCATCAATCAAGAAGCTGACAAACAAGAACAGAAAAAGAAGGCTAAGCAGAAACCTAAATTTGATGAAGATGAGAAAGGTTTGTGTGAGGTTTTTTACCTTATCTGATTTCCTTCATACTGGAGAAACCCTATTAGATTTCATATTTGCTCTATACCTCGCACAATCCAGAGAAAACTGTTTTGCGACAAGCATGCATATTAATTGATCTCCCCTTCTTCTCTTTCTAGAGTCTGATTGTATTCTTCATGGATACATTAAGAAGTTGGGAGGACCTTTTGCATCAGCTTGGCAGACACGTTATGCTAAACTGTATCCCAACCGTGTTGAACTTCACCCAGAATCAGGGTCAACCAAGCCAGAGCTTGTTTTCATGGACCAGATTGAAGATGTTAGTGCTGATCTTGTTCATGTGAAGGGGGAACAATGCATTGTGGTCCGTACTAGGGAGGGTAAAATAGTCCTCACCAACCCGGTAAGTATTTTCTAGTCTATTCACCAAATAGTTAATCACACTTACTTTATTTCTAAACCTGTATCAACTATTTGTTTTTCTTCACCCGTTTTAGGATGAGATAGGGCTAAATGAATGGGCAATATCACTGAGGTCAGCACACAAGTGTTCTTTGGAGCTACTTGGAAATATGGCAAAGAAAGCTGGAAAAATTTATGGAACGGAGAGGGAAGGAGCTGCAAACAACAAAAACCCAGTCATTTCTGCAAGGAACACAAATGGCAATTAGACGCAGAACCAATGACACCTGCTGTCTTGTGCGCCAATCTGTGATCTGCTTAATGAAAGTGTGCCAGACTGCCTTGCTCCTCGTATTGGCTGTCATCTAAGTTAATAAGGCAAACTTCTTTTAGTCATATAATCTTCACCTCTTGCAAATTCTTTGCAACAAATTAATAGACAATGCTACCTGTGTTTTGGTTTTGACAAGTTTTTAATTTTTTTTTAGTGAATTGTTTCAATGTTTATAGTTCCCAGAACCTGTTGAGCATTGTGTGTTTATAAAGCCATTTCACATATTAATGTATAGAATTTAAGTATAATGTATTTGTGATTGTGAGAATGTTAATTTGATATTGGTTGCTGAGTGCAACTGTTTGCGCATTTCATAAAACATTGTAAGTAATGAAACGCATTGTTGAGAATGTATGCATTTTTAAACTCATCCACTTCACAGTGGTCATTGTAAATACAGGAGTTTATCGGAGAGTGGATACAGATAATGCTGGTTGATGATATGCTCCCACGTTCCTGACTGTGCCTTTATTTTTAGTTTATTTATTTTCTAATGATGTCGTGCCATCTTCTCTTGGCAAAGTGTTATCTCCTACTTGTATGTTTGTCTTTTGCTGTAATGCAATCAAGAAGGAGCTGTGAAAGTGACAAACAGTGCCAATCATTTGCCAATATTCACACCCCTCTCAGGTCTTCGAAAGTGTGCTTAGTATATCATTTTCTGCGCTTGACTTTTGTTTTGAAGCTCTGTATTTATTTACTCTCTACTCTGTATACTTGAAAACTCCTGAATCATCATTTTGCTCTTTAAATTCACATTGTTTTCCAAAGGATAACAAAAATTCAGAAGACAATAATTGCCATGGTTCTTAGCACTGTTACATTTGAAATAAAGCTATGCCTTTCAGCATCTGCAATGTCACAAGCACACCTTAGGTTGAAGCTTGGCATAACTAAGCAAGAGCAGTTAATACTTAAATCCATACTGAGAGGTGAGCATCCCTTGTGACTATCTTTACTCTGCATAGGAGAGGACAGTCTTGTATGATGTGGAAGGGCTTTGTAAAACCCACTTGAAATGTCAATTAACATGTATCAAAAACAAATTTGTGCTGTGCACTCCACATGTTAAGTGACACATTGCTTTATCTCGAGTGTTTCAGCCTGAGTTTCCAGCCACAAGATGTTCATTAAAAGTGAGCTTAGCTTCCCTCATCATCTATATGCCAGCAAATATATAACATACCCATTTGTTTCATGCAAGTGCAAAGTATTTCAGGTGTGAAATATCATTGTGCATATAAAGGACGTTGCAGCAGTTCAATTCAACAATTACATTGAATATGAAAGACACCATGCTTCCCAATTTATCAGAACCTATTTGATAAAATGGCATCGCGTAACTTTCTTGGATGAATAACTTTTTACTTGGGCCCATAAAAATGTGAAGTGGTATCAAATATCATCATTAACTGCTGGTACTTCCTCTTCATAGTCTTATGCAGTGATGTAGTGCTGTGCGGGTAAAATGGTTCATTTCATTTGACTTTGGTCTTGTCATGGCTCTAGATTTTTATGATCCTATTTTGTAACTGTTAACAAGAGCATTCAGTAGCACACACTTTAGCACATAAGTGTGATTTGATCTTCTATATTTTCTGCACACATCCCTCTGTAATCAAATCAAACTATCTTTTTATTTTAAAAATATTATTTACTGAACACAGCTTGCTGTTTTTTTGCTTGCTTGTTTGTCGCCCTTGTTGTTGTTTGTGTTCCTTTGCTTTAAATTGGGGTATGGTAGAAGCCACCAGCTTGTTGACATTTGTGATGATTTGGCATTGACTGTTGAAATTCAAAGGTGCTTATTTTAAGGGATTTGTGGTTGAGGCTGACTCAGCAACTAATCTTGTCAAAAAATATAAAAGTATTGTGGAGGACCAAAAAACAAAATTTTTGAAAGAAAAATAACCTAACTACAAACAAACAAGAAATCAATTAGATATTCCTGCTGCTTGGTTAGTGGGATAACCTGTGATGGATGCTGACTGTCTTTGCCATTAGTCTTCTTTAACAGTTTTAGTGCTTTTTTACTCAGTTTCAATTATTTTCTGGCATCTGTGTGTCTTCTTATTATATGTAAGCCAAAATTATTCCTATGGGCTAAGTTGTGTTTTTGAATGAAAATCTACTGTAGATTCCTCCTAACTGAATTTAAATTGAATATGTTGATGTACAAACATCAATCTATTGTCCGAACAATGCTGGCTGTATATGACCAAAATGTTACCACTTCTTTGACAGTGTTGCTCCTTGCCCATTTAAAAGTGATGTAATTCATCACTTTCATATTTTTGCCAGATGGAAGGTTCTCAATGTCGGCAATGCCTATCTTGCTATCTTTTATTTCCTCAGGTTTTCACTATTTATTTCTAAGAGTTGTATTGCTTAGTTTCTGGGTTTGAATTGTGGTGGACATGGCAAGGGTAAAGATTGACCTGTACTCTAAGATTCTTACCTACTTACCTCTTTTCCAACCAGTGAATGTGTCAAAAATATTAGAGGGGGATGTCTGCACTTTTATACCAGCTAGGATTTCTCAGGCAATAACGATTTTTTCTAGCCACCTGTCTAAAAAACAAATCTTCAGATATGAATAATTATTATTGTTATTAATATTATTATTATTATTATTACAGTTATTATTTTATCACAATATTTTAATGGTTACTAAGATTTTTTGTACTAATGGGTACTGGAATGTGAGCATGAAATGTTGGTGGATATTCCAATTTACTAGTGTGCATTTCATAGTCTTTGTGTCAGTTCTTATCCAGCCAAGGGAGGGAGTGAGATTGCACAATGAATGGGTTGTTAACTTTTCCCAAGAACCACAACATCACATGATTCTCTTTAACATGGAACCTCATAATTGTACTGGTTTCACACTGAATTAGGGTGCCTTTAGGTTAAAGACTTTTTATTATGTATAGAAAATTGGAAACAACTGTGCATGATTAAGTATGATATGTTTTGATGCATTTTATACTAAATCAATTACTTCTTGTATTAATCAAAGCCCAGTGAATTTCTATGTGACCGATTGTATGCCTTCTGTTTTGTTTTTGTTTTTCGCGTTAGGTTCTCAAAATTTGAGAAAGGAATCGAAATTAGCCTTTGCCATCCATCCAAATTGTTCATGGTTACATAATTTTTCCTAACTTTGTAGTTCATTACTGGGCATATACAATTTTTTAAGTCAAAGCTTTCTGACTTTTTTTTATTTGGCCAGAGTTTGCATAACAGTATAGCCCTCAAGTACTTGATACATGTACCTGCCCGTAGTTCCCCACTTCAGATTTCACTGTGTTATCTCATTTTGTATAATGAAACCATTATACATTTCCATTTTCAATTTTTAGCATATGATCTATAGTGTTTAATTTGTAATTTTGTTTACCTGTTGAGATACAGTAGCAGTATCAACCCTAGTACCCAGTGATGGAGGTGCTCTTTATCATATATGTTTAGTAATGAACTTGCTGAAGTTTATTACACATCAAGTAAGCTTGTCTCACTCAATGAGGTACATTCAATCAAGATTCTTTTTTTTTTTTGCCTATTTGACTGTGATATACTGAAGCAGTACACAAGGTTTTTATATCACCCTGTTAATCAAAAGTAATGAATGTGCTCAAAAACTGAGCTATTCGATTGAGAAGCAAGGTGCTGTTTATCAATTCACTTTCCATTTTAATTTTTATTTTCAATTTTCAAAGTTTTCTTCTGCTTTTGTTTTCTACTCTACATTTTACTTGGTTTATGTGTTTGGATTAGGAATGAAGATAATTTTTGATTTGCCTACACAAAATGTTCAAAATGTAATAAGAGAGAATTTGATAGGGAATTTGGTGCTGCCATGTGTTCAGATGATTTAAATTGTCATTAAAATGTTTACTGATTTCATGCTCTGCATTGTTGTGGCTGGTCATGGGTAATGAGTGTTTTTTAAAAATTTTATTTTTAGAGCTTAATATTAAACTTAATACTCCGCAATCGTGAGGGTTTTAGCCTTCACTAGGTTAAAAAAAACTCTCTAAATCTGAATCTCCAAGACAATTTTATTGGCTCTTATGCACATGACAGTAATTGTGAGACTGGTTATATGTCATTAGATGTTACATAATTGTTGCCAAAAGTTGCCAAATTTGGTAATGTTAAGAAGTGCACATTGCTCTGATTTGTTTTATTTTGTTTGGTGAACTGACCAATGAAGCATCCCTATTTTGCCTTTCTCGCGAGTATGACATGTTTGAAAATATTAATTTTCTACAGCCATGTAATTTTGTTTCGACCGTCTCCCTCTTCTGTATTTAAAGTGAGGAAAATTAAGAGGAGACTGAACTCCAGGCTCAAAACACAAGGCACCATCTAAAGCAACCAATATTCATTCTCCATGAATTTTCTTGTTTGTGTATGTATCTTTTATTTTATTTCACTGTACTCCTTCAGAGAGCTAATTAATAGTATTAAATTCTAACCATGATTAATATTATTACTTTTATTATTATTAATTTGAAACCACACTAGCCTTGTTTTTGTGGTCTTACGACATTACTTTTGTAAGGTACATACATTGACATTGGTTGATATTGATAGATCATGTTCAAATCATTGCTAGGTAAAGTAGGTTTTGAAAAGCTTGGAAGAGAGGTTTGCATGTACACTTTTGATTTCATGATTTGGTACTTTTCTTTATTCATCTTTTTCCAATCAATTCCCCAGTTTTGTGTAATCTACCAACTTGATGTAGTCATGTGTATCTCCTCGCAATGGTGTTAATTCCCTTGTGTTAATCAATAACTTGCTGTGTTTTGAGTTCGCTTCAATTTCTTTATACACTTGTGTGTCATAGACAGTTGTTGCTTTAATTGTGGTGATCAACCATGATGAGAATATATTTTAGGTATCATACATCTGGAGTGTTAACAAATCACCCTCAATAAGGAACATTCCTGCTTTCGTCTGTAGTTCTGGAGTGGGATGGTGTGAACTGTGTACATAGAAGTAGTTCTGTGATTCTTGCCGTTTGATCCTGTCTGCATGTAACCACCAGTACATCTTGTAAAATTAGCCCCCCTTCAAGGTAAACATGAAATTCATCACTAATTCAAAATTTACAGCATTAGCAAATTGTGATGAGTGGAGAATTGATTTGAATAATTTTAGTTGCTGATTGACTGAAGTCTTTCTAAAGAAAAATTTGTTTAATTTAATCATCCCTTATTTAAATACACATTCTCACAGTGTGTATGGCTACTATTGTGCCATATATCAGCCTTGGGAGAAGTAATCAATTTTTTTTGTGTTTTCTAAACATTTTCAAGTTAAACAATAGAATACAATTTTTATTTTTGTTTTCTGTGTTTGAGTAACTTTATAGTTGACATGTAGACTTCTGCTTCATGAAATGTTCTGTTATTTTGTCATTAATTACAGTGTGATAATCATCAACTCACTTTTCCCCTGCAGCTAATGTTTGAAGTAGAAAAGGTAACTCTCTGGAGAAGTGCTAGGTTTCTGTATTGCACATAGTGAAATTCCTGTCTGCAGGTTTTCTAATGACATTTTCATAACCATTCTCAAATTTAGCACTGTGATAATTTCATGTCTCCCAACTCGCAAAATGTACCTTCTATTTGTAATTGTTCATCTCTATTTCATGATACCAGATAGGAATGTAAGTTTAAGTGAATAGTGTAATAAGTTGTGTGAACCTTCCTCACCCCACTCCATCTCCCTTTGAAGAAATGTTCGATTTTAGGTTTCAAGTCCTGTATAATTGCATTTCAGGGAAATTTTTGAAGGCTGCATTGATCCATTTTTCTCTATATAATTTCCTGAGTAAGTGTATGCGTGTGTATTCAAGTTTGTTTGGGTGTATGTGTGTGAGTATGTGAGTGATGGACCTATGTTGGTGCTTTGTGTCCAATTTTGTAGAAAGTGAATTGTGTTATCGTCAAGCCATTATGAAGGGTTTCTGCTCACAAAAAGTCAACCAGCATGAAATCAGGAATATTACAATACTTAAGGTGTTAATGCCAATTAGTTGAATCCTAGTCGTCAAATTGAAATGTTTCGTTTTATTCATTTTTGAGTTGTATAATTTTAAGGTCATTGCTTAAGGTTCTGGAGCTTATTGGTGTAATTCGGAAGTGAAAACTGAGCTTCTTGTACTAGATCAACCAATTTCCTGATGAAAGACCTCTCATAACTCTAGGTAGAAGAATGGGACGCTGGCAGTGACTTTTCCACCATGTCTTCCCTTACCTCTAAATTTTCTTACTACTTGAAGTTTCACTACATTACCGACATAGCAGTTTTGGTATCTTAAAAGGTCAACTTTTCCATGAATGGTGTGGAGGGACAAGTATGGTTTCTGTGACTTATGTCCTTGTTAATAACGCTGCAAAACTGTTCTGGGACTGGCTGCTCGGTATCCTCCAAAATTATTTTGCTTGAAGCTTTGTGCACTTGTTTGATGCCTTTCGCCTTTCTTCAGCAAAGCAGGTGAGAGGCCCATCAGCAATTTTGTATTGTGATATTTTCTTTTTCTCTTTTAAAGCAAGTATTTTGTTTTTAGGAGGGGGAGGGGGGGATGATTTAAGCAAACTGATGCAGCCTTTTGATGTGGTGTTCCCTCTAGTAGCCGGTCCCTGCAATTAGTAGTCTCTTTGGTATGTGCTATGAGGGCAAGCAAAAATAATTTCCTACCTCTTCCTTGTTAGTTTCATTTTTTTTTTTGTTTCATAGTTTAACTGTTAATGAAATTTATACAAATTAAAATGGTTATTGTGTTTAGCATTCATGTTCAATTGCCTTTTCATTGCCCCTTCATCACTTTTCCAGAAATGTTAACACATTGAGGGCCACAGAAATTAACAGCAGTAGTGTTTCCCAGCAGCAATGCACGGCCACTACGTGCTCACGTACGAGTCAAAAGAGAATCACAAAGAATTATCATTAAGACAATAACAGAAGAACAATTTCATTAACATATATTTCAAATTGCACATTGAACAGGTGACACAAGTACATTCATGTTACAATATAAACATATGTAATTTCTCTATATACATAGCTTTTTTTACACATCTCAGTTAAATTTCTGTAATACAAAAGTAGACATACTTTTTTGATACCTTGAAGATATTTATGGAGATTTGATATCATAATCTAATAATAAAGCTTCTTATTCTGATTAAAAAGTGCAACACATCACAGAGGGCACCAACACATTATCACAGCCCAATCAGTAAATTATAACTACAGTTCATTTGATCTTATGACCAGTTGGTCAAATATTCTCCCCCTTTCTGTCAACTACCAACTTAGATTAGATCAGATGAGAGCAAATATACTTGAAATTGAAAAAAAAGTAATAAAATTGGAATTACACATTAAACATAAATATTGCACAACTCAAAGTAGCTGACAGCCATTAATAAACAAAGATATTTCAACCCCCAAAAGTCATGACTAGGGTTAATTTCATTCTATGGTACGATCATTTTATTCTGTCTTCTAAACTGCCATCTTTTAGAATTAAAATTGTTTTATTTTTTAAAAAGAAGAAATTGAGCGAGTGACGGGAAGAAGCAAAACGCTTGCTATTGTATCACATGCAAAAGTTACCTTTATAAATACCTAACACAGTAAATAGCTTTTAAAATGTCCTTTTCATGAAGAGGCAATATTGCCAGAGGCAAATTTCTATAGTCACACCATAAACACTATGTATTTGAATCTTCATGAAGAGTGAGACTTGTGACATCTTTGACTATCATTTCTGCTATCTGCCACGCCATTTCTTCCTTTGCCTGTTGAAAAGAATTAAACTGACAGGTTAAAGACATTTGAACTGCCTGCTCAAAGCTCTGAAGGAAGCAAAAAGCTGCAAATTTAAGAGAAATAATAATAATATTAATAATTAATAAAAACAGAAACATACCTTGTCTTCATCCATATGCACTAACTTTTTCATAGCTCGAGTAATCCGGGATTCTGAAACATATTTTTTATTTCCAAGATGAGAAATAAAACTAACTTAGTCCAGTCAATAAATTATTTAAGTTACAATGAAGGTGAGAAATGTTACACACCACTCTTTTTATCTGGTTCAGGTTCAACTTCTGTCTCAAATCTCCCTAGTTCATTGATCCTACCAAAACTCAGCCCACTGCAAACATGTCAGAACACAATAAAATAGATCCATCTCAGTACAGTAACGTGCTACTAAACATTAGCACAGTGATACCATTAACAAATGATGTTGTTCATACTGTACCTATGATGTCGCCTTCTCCAAAGTGAATCCGGGTCATACAGTTGTCTTGAATCAATGCTGAGATTTTGCTGTTCCATATTTCGAAGTATTTTGCGAGATAGAGTTAAATCTCCTCCTGCTAAGAGTGTATTTGTATTCAAGGATGGTTTCTCACCAATTTCACTTCCACAATCAGAGCCTTAAAAAGACATTTAACACATATTATAAAGTCAAAGAAGGTTTTCAATATTTGGCAATACTCAGACTAGCCTGTGAAAAAAATAAACTTACCACCATTTCTTGTAGCTTGAATTGTATTAATTAATTCTGAGAGATATTTCATGTACAACTGGGATTCTAAAAATGGCTTCAAGTAATTCTGAAAAAGGGGTCAAAGGGGTTCACATCATTATGAGAGCAGCAGTTAAGAATTTAGAGCTAGGTTTGGTCAAAAATTTCAAACTTAAATTGAAAATTTGTAAAATTAATGAAATACTCTTCCCAGACTGTGTTATAACATCCACTTTGTGAAGCAGAATTCGAACACATAAAATGTTTTGATGTATACTGTGTGTCAAGGCTACGACACCGCAGTGTTCCGGATTTGCCTAGCCAAAGGGCCATGGCACCTTACAGTCCGAGTGAGTATGCACAGCAAGCTACCACTGCAGTGTCGTAACCTCTTAATAGTTCGTAAAACATAAGATTGTGTTCCCTAAGACAGAGATCTAAAGCCATTGAAGAATTGAGTTTTAAGAAAGAATAAAAACAACAATTACCTTGTTAAGGAACTTTTCAACTATTTTAAGAGGATGGCTGAAGCATGTTGAAGGAGGGCCATTTTCACTACAAATGTTATGTTCAATTTGAACCCTAATTTTGTTGCTGAAACCTAAGGGGCATGTGGCCTGAAGTGAAAAGTATCTGATAAAAGAAAAACAAGCTGCAATAAGTAACAAACAAATGATGACCTTGTCTAGGAGGTAGATAGTTTCTGATATTTAATCTGAGACGGACGATTTCCCAAAAAAGCAACTGTCAACGTTTTTTTTCTAAGCTTACTTCTCATACAGTACAATGGCATCACTTTGAGCTTGTTCAACATTTACAGGATCCCCATCTTCTCTCATCTGACTGGAAAAATGATGAGCTGCCAACCAAAACTCAAGTAGAGCTCTTTGACTTTCTTGTTCCATGAACTGGAAGTGAAACAAATATTTAAAATAACTTTCAAGCCATGGCATATCAAGAAGAAAGATAAATTATTGATAAGTGGTCGCACCTCCATGAAATAAGAGAGGGAAGTTTGATTGTGAAGAATGTCCATCAAACCAACATCACCACTGGTTAGAACATCAATTTGGTGTTTGCAAAAAAAATCACTTCTTAAAAACTCATTGAAATATCTGTAGGAAATATATTATTAGTAACCTATAACTTCATTAACAGGTATCCAAACAGAGGGAGCATACATATACATACTCTTCTTCCATTATTTGATGACACACACTCTGAGCAGGACTGAAGCATTCAGGATCTAATAATCCTTGGCGACACAATGCCAAAGCTACACAGTTACGCACATCTTCTTCAATTGGTACAGGAAGAGGTGCATTCAAACCTAAGTATTTTTCAAAAATTCTCACAGCATCACCATGCACTGAGGCCCCTTCATGAATGGTACCGTCAGTCCTCCCATCATTATCTTTGGCTATCACTGAAATTCCACTTTGCGTCTGATTGCAAAATGAGAGTGAGTGCTCACTAGTAGAATTAGAGATTTCTTTATTTCTAGTTTTAAACTTTGCCTGCAGATCATGAGAATGTGATGACCTTGCATCTTCCTGAGCTGCAGAGCGAAAGCACTCTACATCCAAATAAAAACGAATCAGAGCACCTGCAGAACGGGCCTCTAAATATTGTATGAAATAGCCTAGAGCGCCCTTGTCAGCTATGACTTCGGCAAGGGACATAGACAAACGGGATCTTGATATTTGCAGCCATTCAGCATCCTCTAAAAAAGAACAAAAACATTTAATTAATACCAGCACATTTAGAAATGTCACCTTGAAAAATTACCCATTGACGAAATTTGGTCGATGTAAGTAAAAGCACACAACAGAAAAGAAGTTTCAGATTGTCCAGTAAATTGCCATACCAGATTGGTTTGTGTCATCCTCCTCATAATGAGCAAGTAATGTAAGAGAACCACTTGATCCATTTGCCACCCCTATGTCACCATTGATTTGGGTTGGACTATCAAGTGAACAAGGTGATCGAAGGGGCGAGGGTGGATTCGATTTCGACGTTTCTTTAGAACCTGGAACAGAAGAGTGATTCTGAAAGAAGAAGGGTGTGCCTTGACAGATAAGGTGGATTAAGTGATATGTGCACATAGCAGGTAAGCAATTTCACAGTTGACATTCGGAATACTGACCAAACCATGCGAAATGGCGACAAAATGGTAAGCTAAAACCTTGCAAGTTAATGGATGACTTGTTCGGCTATCGTTTTAAATCGAAGCAAAACTTTGACAAGTGACACGACCACAGAAATAAGGTTATATTCTATTGTTTGAATTTGGTTCACACGCCTGATATAATTCTGACAATGACCTGACTTACCAGATTTTTTCCAGAATTGAAGCATCTTTCATATTGTTCCTGGAACTTGTACGCACTCGATGAAGGTGGGCTGGGCTCACGTACGAGATAAGGTAATTGTTTTCACCAGTTTAAGGCTCACGGCATCTTCTGCCATTTTGAGAGGCGCAACAAAACAGATGGGAAAGGGTCGCTTAATTTCGCATAGACGTACCAATTCATCGATACCAACCAAACCAAAATAGGTTATTTTTTTCATATATTGATGCTTTCTTTGTGTAAGTGAGGCACAATTATCAACAACTGTCATGGATTTATCAATTTACATATTCTGAGGGAGACAAACATTTGGTTCCTAATCGTCAGACTAAAAATTGTTCATCCATTTTTGACGTTCATTGATACCTCCTTTCACCCCCCCCCCTCCGCCGGGAAGCAAGCTGCTGCAGCTGCAATTTGCCAACCAACCGCCGTCCGTCGTCGTCGGCGCTCCTCTCACGGCACTTTATTGTGGTTAATGCTCGCCATGGCGCCCCTCGACAGCTCCTCCATTCAGCCAGTTGAAAATAATTTCGAACTATTGTGTTCGTTGAAATGCAACAATTTGATACCAGTGAGTAAATACCGTTCACCACGCACTGGGTTGACCGTGGTCATTGCCAGCGTCGAGGGACCCGTCGTGAAGGGCTACTTCACCGTAGGTAAGAATTTCACTGTAGTAGTCCTTTTTGGCGAGAGTATCTTTGCGTCACTTTCTCGTTTTAATACCACCAAGTTGATACTGACCTGAGGTGCTAATCCACGCACTTTAATTTTTACCTGAGCAACCTTTAATGTCTCTACCGGCATGCCCGTCTCTGTTGACTCACTCAAGCAATATCATGAAATAGTTAAGACATTCCAGCACTGTCAACTGCACAATGTGATCTTGTACTTATTCTAGACAAGTTGTTCTTAAAACATTTTCTATAAGTTTTTGAACTTATGCTGCTGACTTGTTTTGGTGTTTTATGGTGGTGTTTTGCACAAGTGGAGTGCTGATTATTGCCATTTATTATTGTAGTGATGATTATTATCCTGTTTTTGGTATTATCTGTATAGCTACGGAGGCACCTGACGACGATGGGTTGCCCCACACTTTGGAACATCTCATTTTCCTGGGCAGTGAACAATACCCCTATAAAGGTGTTCTTGATCTCTTGGCTAATCGCTGCCTTGCATCTGGGACCAATGCCTGGACAGGTAATGTGCTTATTGCAAACGTATTATAGCATCTAGGGGCAGCATGTATCCTATCTGTAAAATAAATGTTGCAACCCTTCACTTCCTCTCACCTGTCATTAAAAGATGATAGATGGAGAGGAGGAAGGGCGACACATTTTGCAGATGTGATATTGTTGCATGCACCCATCTCTCTCTACTTATCGTATCATATTTGTTTGGATTTTAGATACTGATCACACTTGCTATACCATGATGACGGCAGGAAGCGAAGGTTTCCTAACACTAATGCCAATTTATGTTGACCATATACTGTATCCCCTTCTTAATGTAAGTTTAATTTCTTGTGAAAGTAAAACAAATGTTCCTTGACACACTTACATTTTATCCTACGTTCTTAATAAGTTTTGACCTTTAAATTTTATTTTTATTTTCTGAAGGACTCTGGCTTTGTCACTGAAGTTCACCATATTACGGGAAAGGGTGAAGATGCCGGTGTTGTCTATTGTGAAATGCAAGGTAGAGAAAATTCTGGAGAGTCTCTTACTTATATTGAAATGAAAAGAGCCATGTATCCAGAGCCATGCAACTACAGATATGAAGAAGGAGGTGTTATGAAGAATTTACGTGAGAGTTGTAGTAACACAAAGGTTTGCCATAAATGATCCTCATAAACTTTATTTATACATACTAATTTAAGTTACATCACTGTAAAGTAATTTTATTTACCTTTATCCATCTTAAATTCAGGTTCGAAACTATCACAAGAAGTATTATCGTCCCGAGAATCTCACCCTCATCATTGCCGGTCAAGTGAAACCAGAAGATGTTTTTGCTGCCCTTGCTCCCATTGAAAGCAAAATTGTGTCAAAAGTTAGTGTGTTTTTGTAATTGTATACTGTGCAATTAGAGTGGGTTGTTGTGTATTTTTTATTTATTTTTTAATTTCAAATGTAAATTTGTGCCAGGGAGACCTTGGTCCATTTGAGAAGCCTTGGCAGAGCCTTGTCCCAGAGTTTACTGCATCTGTTGACAAGGAAGTTCCTTATCCATGTGATGAGGAAGATAATGGCATGGTGTTTGTTGGATGGAGAGGTCCTTGCGCTGTGACTGATTTATCTGGGTAAGATTATGTCAAATATCACTTGAAAATGAAGAAATAGTACTTATTTTAATATACTTGTTTTACAGAATAACAGCGTGCTGTCTTCTTCTTAAGTACCTTTGTGGTACTTCAGCAAGCCCTTTGCTACAAGAATTTGTTGAAAACGATGACCCCTGTGCCAGCGATGTTTGTATTATTCATTATCTATCTTGAACAGTGCTCTGAAAACATTAATTTGTCATCAGTAACTAATATTGACTTGTTCTAGGTTTCATTTTCTTTGGCGGAGAATAAGGAGGCTATGATATACATGATCTTTTCCAATGTTCCGGTCGACAAATTGAACTCCATCAAATCTAAGTTGGATACGAGGTTAAAAAAATTTGTGAATGGCGAGGAACATATTGAAATGAGCAGAATGCAAACTGTCATTAATAGACATCGCCAGGAGACTTTAAGTCATTTGGAAACTAATCCTCATGATGCAGTTGCTTTCATGGTTATTGCTGACATGCTTTATGGCACTAGCAAAGAAGATGTAAGTAATAACAAAATTAAAGTGTTTTTGCTGTGTTTGTTTTATTCAGAGTTTAAACAATTATTTGACTTGTACTTAAATTCTCCCCCCCCCCCTTTTTTTTTTTTAAATCTCTGGTCACAGTTGCACCAACGTTTAAATATTCTTGAAATATTAGATAAGCTAGTTGTTGAAGAAGAAAGCTACTGGATAAACCTTTTAAACAAGTATCTTGTGGAAAACAAGAGTGCAACAATTAGGGGCCGCCCAAGTCAGGCTGAGCGGCAACGACTGTCTGATGATGAAGAGAAAAGAATTGAAAAGCAGAGAAAGGATCTTGGGCCAGATGGCTTGAAGAAGTATGAGAAGGAGTTAGAAGATGCCATTGCCCACAATGAGGTGCCCTATCTGTCAACTATTTTTTATAACTTTGTTGTCTTCTGCTTTGACACTGTATTATTTTCCAGCTTCCACCACCTGAAGCAATGTTACGTAGTGTGGCTATTCCTGATGCTTCTTCAATCAATTTCCATCCCATTGAACGTTTTTCAAGTGACTCTCCTCAGCAACACAGTAACCTGCCCCTTGACAAAGTTCCTGTCTTTACACATGTTGATCATGTGCACACAAATTTTGTCTATGTAAGTGTACTTCTCCTCAGTATTTATATTTACTAATTTTGCTGGAAGGGAAGCTACAACTCTCTTTGTTCTGTCTGTAGTTATATCTTCTAATGGACACAGCAAGTCTTGATCCTGAGTTACGACCATACCTCTCACTTCTCATTGAAGCTTTGATGGAACTCCCCATTAATGAGAATGGGAAGGTTACAACTTATGAAGATGTAGTTGCGGAGCTGGAGAGAGATACAGTGTCTTCAAGTTCAGCCATTGGAGTGTCTGGTGGATCTCGTTTTATCTGTGGATCATTCAGCTCCACAGCATTTCTATCTATTCAGGTATTTGTTGCTGATTAAAATAGTTGGGTAGTTTGAATGTTGTTGCACATTTGATTAATGCTGAATGTTTAAATTTGAAGTGTGAGCCAGCCAAGTTTAAGAAGGGCATTCAATGGATGAACAAGCTTCTTTTCAAGACAGTTCTGGATGCTGACCGTATCAAAACAATTGCAACAAAGCTAGTTAATGATGTTGCACGCTTAAAGCGGAATGGTTCTAAAATCGTATCTGCTCTCATGAAAGGAATTCGTTTTGAAAAAGGTTTATAAAATTAAAATTCAGATTCTTTTCTTTTGTTTATGCTGGTGTCTCAATTGATTTGTTATTCCTTTTCAGAAAGTAATCATTATTCCTCAAGTGTTCTCAGACAGCAGAAGTTCTTAACATCCTTAATTGAGAAATTGGGCAATCCTGAAGAATCTAAAAAGATTGTGGCAAATCTTGAAAAAGTGCGGCAAATAATCACTTTGCCAAGTAATATAGTATTACATGTTGCTGCAAATCTAGAAGAATTGCCATCTCATGTGAAACCTGATAGCCTTGTTGACATCTTGTCTGGACTTCTTCCAAGTGATGTCACACCTATTACCAAGAAGTAATTCTCCATCCTTTTCATTATTGATCCTATTTTGTGTAGAAAGTGGAGTTCAGTCAACTACATAGGTATTATGTTTCAGGCTGAATGTTACACCTGACTGGAAATTGGTGTCCTCCAACTCACCAAATCCAAGCTGTGCTGTTGGAATGGGATGTATCGAGTCAGCATTTTTGATCCAGAGCATACCTTGTATCAATAGTCCATTAGATGAAGATCTGGCTCCACTCCTGGTTTACCTGCAATACCTGTCTCAGCTGGAGGTAAATCAGCACCTTTTTTCTTTCACGTTATACTACTACTATATTCTACTGTAATTTTACTTTTGCAGGGGCCAATGTGGAAGCAAATCAGAGGACAGGGGCTTTCATACAGCTACAGTGTCTTTCCTAGCACTCATGAAGGTTTGCTCTACCTTGTACTGTACAGAGCAACAAATGTTGTTGCTGCCTACAAGGAAGCCCGTAGCATCTTGGTCAGTACGAGGGCTATGATTTCATCCTAACATTACAGTATAACATTTCCATTTTTCTAATCTAATTTATTTTCCTCCTTTCTAAATGTTAGGAAGGACATTTGAAGGATGCTAGCACCTTTGAGGGAACTCTTCTTGAATCGGCTAGGAGTTCCCTGATTTTTGAAATCATCCATCAAGAACGTAGTGTTGGGCAATTAGTTGGGCAGTCAATATTGTGGTACTTCAAGGGTGTAGACCAATACTACAATAGGTAAACATTTTGTTCTTATCAAAAACAGATACCATCTATGAGATCATTCACTGATTCTTTTCCCCTCCCCCTTCCAGTAAGCTTGTAAAGCAGATTGCCTCAGTTACTGCTGAAGACATGGCTCGAGTTGCTCCCAAGTATATTCCACCTCTCTTCAAGTCTGAAGACAGTCGCCTATCGGTGGTTGTTCATACCTCTAAAGCTTCTGAAGTTGCATCAGAATTCAAGGAGTGAGTCTAGAATAGTTTTTTTAATAGATTACTTGTTTTTTACTGTCTTAAAAACTTTCTTTTATTGTTCCATTTAGGTTGGGTGTAAACACTGAGGTTTATCCGTCATTAGAGGAAAGCTTCTTATCACAATGGTAATCTTTAATGAGTACCCATGCATGGATATATTCTAATAATCCCAGTGAAAACGCAGTGCTAATTTGAAAATAATGTCAATTTTAAATACGTACAATTAATTTCAAAACAATCAACTTAACAAATGTATTTTTTAAAGACAATTAGTCATGTATATTATATTGTGTACAGCATACTCATCCTTTACCCAGCATGAAATGAAGCTCGGGTTTTAGTTTCTTTCATACTTTATTTTTAAAATCCCACCGTTTGAAAAGTTATAATGGTAATAGTTTTGTATAAAAATTAATAAGAATTGATACAAAATCAGTTTGGTACAGTGTTTTCTCCTAGTACACTGTTCACCATATCCACACTTATATCCCAGAGCAACTTAGACATTTGAGGGTCTTCACTTTTTGGGCTTGGTGTGCAACGGCAGCAATTGTTAAAATACAGGCCAGTGCAGCCGGAAAGTTCATGAGCTGTGGCACAGTATACAGTGGTACTTGCTCCTTGTTGCTAGGAAAGAGAAGAAGCCAGGAAACAAATGAAAATAAATAGTGTCATGTCCTCTCATAAGGTTTGTAAAAGATATATCCAATTAATTACCACTGATTTAGTGAAAGGTCGAACTACAGCAAAAGCAAGTCTGTAACCCCACCAATGGCGAGAAATATCAGTAGAAATCATGTTCCCAGGATGAACAGAAAATACTTGGATGTTGTCATCATACCATCTTTCTGACAACTCTTTAGCAAAGAGTACATTACACAGTTTTGTATTGTTATATGTCATCATGCCACTGAACCCTTTAGAAGTTTTAGGAGACAAATTTGACTCTGTGAGAGAATTCAATTTGAAATTGGAAAACCTGAAAAGACAAGAGAAAATCAAGACAATGATTTTTAGGGGGTTTGTACTTGAGTTAAGTTTTCCATCTACCTGTGGCTTTCAGATGAGAGCACAACTACTCTTGATGGTTTGGCCTCAAGCAATTGAGGCTTTAACATGAGAGTTAAATAAAAGTGACTAAGGTGATTAACTTGAAAAGCAGACTCAAAACCATCAACTGTTAGGTTGAATGGTGCAGCAAATACTCCAGCATTTAATATGAGGATATCTAGTTTCCTAGAATAGGGAAATTTTATTAAAATACTAAACCAATTTGAAACAAAAAAAAAGCAGGTTGAAATAGAACAGGCTACCTGTATCGCTGCTGAAATGTCAAAGCAAATGTTTTCACGGAATGTAGAGACTGCAAATCCAGGGATATAAAGTCACTGTTGACATTAGGTCGCTCACTTCGTATGCGGGCAATAGCTTCTTCGGTCTTTGACTCATCTCTGCATGCAAATATGACAGTACAGCCATGCAGAGCAAGGGAGCGTGCAGTCTCAAATCCTTGAAAAAGAACAAAAAAAAACATACAATGTAATTTCTTTGGCCAAAATTTTTGTACTAATGTTTTATTAAAAACACACCTATGCCAGTGTTGGCACCGGTCACTATTGCAATTTTTCCACTCAAATCACGGCCATGCAATACCTGCAAAGCAGTGCTTGACCCATCAAACCTTTGACGGAAGTCTCCTGGATGCTCTTTTTCCTCAATAGCAAAGGCTAATCTAGGGTCAGTATATGTTGTTCTGCCATTTTCTTTGTTTTTATAGTAGACCTTTCCCTCTTCATCAACACATTTCTCCCATCCAAAAGGCATTTCTATAAAATTATATGAAATACAGATATTGTCATCACGATACAATATATACAAAATGGTAGTTTCAACAATTTCTTTCAAGAAACCTCCAGAGACAACTTTCTTCTTGCCTGTTCTTGGATGGTTCCACTGTGAACCCTTAGTAGAATGGCTAGCGAGGGGAAAACAAAATTAATAATTGAAAAATAAATAAATAAAAACGAAAAGAAGAAAAAATCGTTTCTAGTATTTATGTTTTACTTGACGTAATAAACAGATCCGTCCAACGTTGCTCGTTCTTCCCATCCGGGTGGAAGTTCGTCTTCACTATCAGAGTCTGGCAGGATTAATGCCATAACGCGGTGACGGTGACCGTAACTCTAAAATTGATATCGTATCGTAATCGTTTGGGCGTATAAGTTATAACTTGGCTATCAGTGACATCAGCAGATATTATCGCAGAGAGGTTACAAGTGCGTTTTGTTTTGTTTACTGCCAAGAGCAGACGACAACCTCAACAACCGCCTGCTGTCAAAAATTAGAACGTGTCTAGATTCAAACAGTAGTTGGGGGAACAGCGGGAACAGTTCGTTGTTGTTTTGTTTTGTTATCTGTGCAATTTGTCAACCTTGGCATCTGGCCTAGAGTTCTGTATCTTTTCTTTGTTGTGACTTTTGCTTTGGGCCTTGAATTAAAAGAGATCACATTTATCAAGGCATTGAGACATCACAGTGGTCTACCACACACCACTCTTCAACACTATGAGAGGTAGACCTTGCAAATTTCACGTTTATTTTGTTGTCTTGTCTAAAACAAGATACTTCCTTCTAGGTTACTGTCTGAACTCAGCTGATTTGGTGGGCGGACTTGTTGCCTATCATTGACAAACCCTTTTGTTTAGTGTCTTACTGGTGCTACTGTTATTATTTTCTCATGGGCGGGAGCGCATAGCACATGTCGACTTGCTTGTTGTAAAATCATCATCCTTTTAAATTAATGAAAATCTCATCATTTGTGTTCTTATCAGGTTAGTGTTGACAAACGGACTTCGTTGATGGAACGCCTACGCTTTTGGAGTTTAAAACTACACTAACCGACTATGGCTGCTGTACGCGCTGGGTCCTCTGGAGACTTTCTAGATGATGACGAACCTGCTCTCGTTATTAATGCATCTAAAAGCAGAGGTACATATTTTTTTTTTATTGATATTGTTTTCTCTTTTTCTTCTCCATCTGCAAACTCTGTGTTTATGGTGTGACTGGTATTTTTTTGTGTTTCAGAGACATCTTATGGTACATCCTCACTAAGCCAGCCGCCTGTGGTTGATAGCAATGACTGGATCAAGGCCCGTTTTGTTGTAGGATTTATGGGCTTTTTGGGTCTTGCCTTAGTTTATGCCATGCGAGTCAATCTGTCGGTGGTAATTGTAGCAATGGTTAATAATACTAAACCTCCAGATGATATCAATGTCACTGTGCCAGATGCCTGTCCAGGTCCTTCTGGTCCAGCACCTCCTCCGGTTCGTTAATAATATGTAATATTCTAATTTTAATAATTAAATGCAGTGCAGAGAGACTAATAAAAATCTTTGTCTTAGCCAAAACAAGGAGAATTCGATTGGGATGCTCGTACTCAGGGAATCATTTTGGGATCATTCTTTTATGGGTATGTGCTTACTCAAGTACCTGGTGGTAGATTGGCAGAGCAGTATGGAGCCAAAACTATTTTTGGCTGGGGTATCTTCATTACTGCGATTTTTACACTACTCAGTCCTCCTGCTGCAAGAATGGGGGAAGGAGTTTTCATATTTGTCAGAGTACTTGAAGGATTGGGTGAGGTGTGTATTATTTCTTCTTATTATTAATAACCATGTTTACCTTCCATCTAATATTAAACTAAAATGTTACAAGGGCGTTACGTTTCCATCCATGGTTGCTATGTTGGCTCGCTGGATTCCTCCTCTGGAAAGGAATACATTTGCAGCTGCTGTTTATTCTGGTAATTTTACTTGGCTGATATTTTGAAAGCCCTCTGATTTATGTATACTCTTGTCATTAATTCAAGTGGTGCACGATTTTCAGGATCAAACTTTGGAACAATTATTTCAATGCCACTCTCAGGGTACTTAGCCTCTGTTGAATGGATGGGAGGATGGCCTTTGGCTTTTTATGTCTTTGGTGGCCTAGGTGTAATCTGGTGTGTGGTTTGGTGGCAGATCATTTTTGACTCTCCTTCAACTCATCCCAGAATTAGTGCTCAAGAGAGGGAGTACATATTGGCTAGTTTAGGACCAGAGAATTCCCAAGACAAGGTAACATTAAGTAATTATTTTCATTCTCTCATCATCTAGTATCAACTCAAATTTTCTCTAAAACTGATTGTGATTTTCTAGGACGATAGTGATTTTCCATGGGTGGACATTTTCTGTTGTGTCCCCTTTTGGGCAATTATGGTCAGTCAATGTGGGATGGCATGGGCATTTTACACACAGCTAACAGAAATGCCCACCTACATGGCCCATATTTTGAAGTATAGTTTGCAGGCTGTAAGTCTTTTAGAAAAAATTGTATCTTTAATTCTGCTACATTTGACTTCCAACCTGTTTTTAAAGTATTCTGTTTTAAAATCTAATACAGAATGCAGTGTTAACATCCATCCCCTACCTTACCTCTTGGATCAGCAGTTTGTTATTCTGTCGGTTAGCTGATTGGCTGATTGAAAAGGAATATTTGTCACCAGTGGCCTCTATGAAAATTTTTAATTCATTAGGTAAAATTGAAACCTTATTTTCTAAGGATTTTACAATTTTACTTTAAAGTATTTATTGAGTGTTGCTAATTATCCTTAAATTTTCTCATTTAGCATCTGTTGTTCCATCAATTGGCTTCATTGGAGCTGCTCTTGCTGGCTGTGATCGTCAACTTGTTATGGTGATAATTAGTCTGACTGGTGCATTTGTTGGAGCTCAGTATGCTGGTAACCAAATGAATCATATTGCACTGAGTCCTAGGTATGCTGGCACAATGTATGGTATGACAAACGGTGTCGCCAATCTTTGTGGTTTTCTTGCACCCTACACAATTGGGTCAATTATCAACAACCATGTGAGTGTTTTCAAGTATAAATGGGTAATAGTGCAGAAGTAAGGCACAGAATGTTGAAGGGACATTTCTTTTCTGCAGGAGACAGTTGGCAGATGGCAACTGGTATTTTTCTTAGCAGCAGCAGTTAACATTATCACAAACTTAGTATACATTATTTTTGGCTCGGCAAAGGAGCAACCATTCAATCATCCCAATCCAAAGCCAAGCTACCTCTCAGGTAAGATTTCTCTCAAAAAACATTAATTTTTTGAGTTCTAATTTATTTGTTAAGGGCAGTCATTTGTAAATATGAATGTCATGATATTCTGTTTGCAACTCCTTTATGTATATATTGGTGTTGTCATTTAATGCTGCACTTCAGGCGCGGTGGGTCTTTAGTGAGCCGCCTGAAAGGTGGTCAATTTGTGCAATAAAACCCCTGTATGTAGGCAACTTACAGGGTTTGGCCGTATGTGTCAGCCGGACTGTACCGCGCCTGCTACATGTGCATTGATAAAGTGTTGGGTTGACCAAGGGAATTTTACTGGCCAAAGCTTTGTTGGGTTTCTATTAAGGCAAAACTATGGCAGAAGGATTGAATTTTTTTCACAGTTTTTGGCATTTTTTTGGTACCTTTAAGTGTAGCTACAAATTTGAATAGATTGGTCATCAATTTGTAGGGAATTTGGGAATTGGGGATTCTCCAAAATTAAATGATGATTGCTTAACATTCTACATTGGGTGCTGGTGCATAAAGCAGCTTTAAAAAAGAGTTGTGCTATGCACACCTTCTGTTGTGAAGTGTTGGTGAACATAACATGCCAGAACCTATGACTTTTAATTCCCAGCAAGATGATATGATTTTAAAAACATTTTTTTTGTTGGATGGTACTGAGTCATGTCAAAAACTGTGCAGAAACATGGTGTGCTGCACGAACAACTGCTATGGTTTTGCCCATTTCCTGTTGTTTGATCTATTGTGGGTTCTTAACGCTATGGCTTTTTCTGGTGCAGAAGTTGATGAACAGACGGAGCCTCTTCTCGGTGTATCAGAAGTCTTGCATAGATAGGTATGGCTTGCGGGGTTGTGGAAAACTTGGCAACTTATAAAAGGACAAATTTCATTAACGTGGTTCTATTTGTTTCTAGGTCTTCAGTAACAGCCTCTTTTGTGGTAAGGAGGCTGACACCATTCTTTAGCAAATTTAACACTTGCAGGATACAGTCAACACTTAACCTTGAAATGCCTGGATTATTATTCAAATCATCAGACTTGTTTGATTATTTTTCTATGCCAGTTAAACTAAGCACAAAAAGAAGACATGTGATACCTAATTTGTATGATGGTGTTCTCACATTCCAGGTGACTTTTAAATGCATGGTCGGTCCAGTGTCTTGATATTATTATTATTTGGTTTTTGATCTGTGAAGTCTTTGACTGTATGTTTAGTTAATACAATTTATATACTCGGTACATAAAATCTAATCTAAAATAGATGGAGCTCAGAAAAGCATTTGTTGAAGCAGTATTCTTTAAGGTATTTTGTTAATCTCTTGTTTTTATACCTTTTGTATATTTTTTAGGAGTGTTGCTTCATGTGTGGTCAAAAACTTTGTATTATTTTATTACAAAGATGTCACATATGGCAGAGTAGTTCTGTTTTAAAGTTGTATGGTGTACAAAGGTTTGAGTTAGCTCATTTTAATACGAAAATGACTTAAGTACATAGTAAACATTTAAAAAAAATTAGTATAATTGACTTTTTGTCAAGGCAGTTAAAGAAGTATTTCTTCTTTTAAGGAACAGTCTGTGACTTTATTGCAGGTATATATATATGCTGTGATATTTTATGCGCTGTGAAGAAATGTGTGGGAGCAGTCAGATTTGGTTTAAAAGTTTAGAGTTTTCGATTTGTCACAATTTGACTAGCCTCCCCCCCTTGACTCTGACATTATATTCAAAATTGAGTTTTTATCCGTTATGATAAATGGGGCTAATATATTCTATGATATGGGTGTGAAATTATTTGAGTACAATATGTCAATTTTTGATTCTGGATAATGCATTGACATGTTATTGTCTGGTCTATCTGTGCCTGAACATGACCTTATTCTACTTATTTGAACTCAGTGGATTTTTTAATTTTTTAAATACTGATATGTATGGAATATTATTATACCATTCCCTGCAGAGAAAATGTTCCTATAGACTCTTTATTGAACGAGTCAAAATGGTGATTTTTAGCACCCTTTTATCAAGAAGCTGCTGATCACCTGCAGTCATGTATTGGTGGATAATTTGTGTACTTCGCCGAATTTACACATATGTTAGTGTAAAAAATAAATAAACTTTATTTTCATACAAGTACAAGTATTTTTTTTATCTCCTCAACACTGTCGCTGTCACCCAGTGACTCGTTCATTCTTGCAATTTTTTTGCAATACTCTAAGAACAGTCGGTGTTGAGTCGTCTGCTAGCAGACGACAAGCAGCGTGACTTCATGTACCAACCAAGCACAACCATCTGTCAGCAATGTCAACGCTTGTAGGAAATTCAAAATCGAAATTCTCATTAAAAAACCGCTAAGTGCTAATGAAAATGGTGTTTATACACCAAATGCATAATGAGAATCCTGTTAAATACTAACTTTTGTGCGGTTCACTTGTCCGTGTCTGTTGGTACGACAGATCGGTGGTGGGGGGAGCGCTGCGCTCCCAGCCGGCGAACCAAAACAACCGCGCCGTCAGTATGCCTATGGCCGTGCGCGGGGCAACTTCACGCCCGTTTCCTCTCGTGATTGTGAGTGTGTGATGTGATCGTAATTATGGCTTCAGACGTGTCGGTGACGACCAAACCGAAACAAGTGATAAGAAAGTGCACCTTGGATGAAAACGGATGTGTGTCGCTCCTGGATATATTGAATTCCTTCAACGCCCCGATCAATGAAGAACATGCGTGGGCCTTGTGCTTCCAGTGCGCGGAGTGCTTCAAAAGTGCGGTGGAGAGCGATAAAAATAAGTGCGTCTTAGTGGATTCAGTGGACCAAGTGTTTGTGAGCAAAGAAGGGACGGTCCACCCGAAGACGTTACTGGCAACAGCGGAGAATGCAGGTTAGTCATGACAAATTGTCAACAAAATTGAGGGTGTGTTTGTGTAGTTTGTTTGGTCCCATATTTGCTCTACTGATGATGTATAAAAATACAATTTTCTATTTATCTGCATTTAAATATTTGTTGTCAAACAGTGGGACCTTGTCAGGCGGATTGCTTTAGCAAATTTTGTAACGGCTGTATATTTTTCGTA